TTTTTTTATCCCCCGGCCAGCAGGACATACTGGACAGCTTTCAAGAAACCGAGTTCTGGTACACTGAACAAGGCAGCATCTCTGCAAATTCGTCTTGTTCGGGAAGCTCGTCGGGTTCGTTTAGGAGAGTAATTAGCCAGCATAAGTCTCAGCATTCGGACGAGAAGTGGTGGCTGCCCGTGCCCTGCGTGGCGCCCGACGGGCTTTCCGAAAAATCCAAGAAAGATTTGAGGCAAAAACGAGACTGCGCGTACCAAATACACAAGGCGGCCATGGCCATAAACAGCGGCATTCTTGCCGAGATGCAGATTCCAGATTCGTACATGGCTTCCCTTCCTAAGGTATCCAAACATTTTTCATTCTGATAAAGCCCGAAAAATCTGAGGTCTTAAAGCAGGAAAGCTTTTTTTTTTCTCTTTTTTTCCCCTTCTTAAAGTGGAAAAACTAGGAAGATTTGTAAAGCCTCTCCTGAAATCTTGTTTAATTGCGAGAGGACCCGGATATTTTTCAAAATTGATACCCAGAGTTTGGTTTTATTTGACAGATTGCAAGCAACTCCAGATAAATACATATACGCCTGTGATTATTCATATACCTAAGGGATAGTTATAAAATCCAGCCCCCATTTCTTGAATAATTACAAAAAGACTCAGTGAGAAACCTTGAATTACCTAAAAAAAACCCAGTTGGTTCGACTCAGACTTACAATGTCCATTTTGTTCGAGTATGATAAAAAAATAAGCTCCTTACATTTATAGACATATCACGATTCGCACTCTTCTTAGATTGAACTTTACCACTATACTCTAAATTTATGTTCAGCAATTGTAAGTACTTTGGAGCTTTTTCCATACTAAGACAAAACTTCAGGGACAGTTTTCACAATGTTTTTCACAATTTCCCCATGAAACCCTGTCTCTACCGGTTGTCAATGCTCCGCCTTGTCCAACATTAACTTCAAAATTTGCAGACCCAAAAAAAAAAGTTCCAAGTTTTTCAAAATTTCAGTGAATATATTTATTCATTTGCTCCTTTCTGAACTCGTGACCTTTATTAGAGTGGAAAAGCAAGCATTGGGGACAAGATATACCGATACATGTACAATTCGGAGAAATTTTCGCCCGACCGGTTGCTCGACTCCCTCTACATAAGCTCCGAGCACGAGGCCCTTGAGCTGGCAGACAAGGTGGAAGCTTCCATGTACACGTGGCGCCGTAAAATCTGCACGGCCCATTCGAAATCCTCGTCGAACAAGAATCACATCCTAGCCGAAAGAGCTGATACTCTGTTGTTCTGCCTTAGACAAAGGTATCCCGAGCTTTCGCAAACTACATTGGACACGAGCAAAATACAATACAACAAGGCAAGTCTTCTTCCCTCCTTTTTTTTTTTTTGCTTGCTTTTCTTATTTTTCGACATAACGACATTCTCATTTCAAGTTACGAATATTTCGGAATAATTAATTCAAGAAAGATTCTAATAATTAAATTGGAGTTTGTCGTAATTTGGACACGAGCGAAATCAAATAAAACAAGTGAAGTTTCCTTTTCTTTTGCTTTTTTTTTTGACATAACGACATTCTCAATTAAGTTACGAATATCACGGAATATTTCAAGAATGATTTTAATGAATAGTTTAAAATAAGATCCCAAGTATGTTCTTATAGTTAAGCGGAATTTGTCGTAATCGGACACGAGCAAAATCAAATGAAACAAGGGAAGTCATCTCATTTTTACTTTTGCTTGCTTTGCTTTTCGACATGACGAAATTCCTCATTTAAGTTACGAGCATTTTGGAGAAATTGAAGACATAATTTGTAAATAGTTAAAACTAGACCCCATGTATATTTTTATAATTAAACGGAATTTTGTCGTTAGAATCTCTCTCTCTGAAAGAAAGAAAGAAAACGAATGAAATCGGGCTTCGATACGTATTGTTTGCAGGATGTAGGGCAGGCAGTGCTGGAGAGCTATTCAAGAGTATTGGAAGGTTTGGCATTCAACATTGTGGCTTGGAGTGAGGATTTAATCTTTGTAGATAAAACCATGAAAAATCAGGTGTAGATATATGTATGTTACTCTGAAGCAAACAGTTTAATTTTGTACCAAGTAAATTTTGATGTAGCTTGGCAATGTATAA